TATATATACAGCCGTAACCCACCTTGAAATAATTCCTATTTTTGAATATGAATATTCTTCTTCTTCTTCTTCTTTATCCATTCAGTCGATTCCGACCATTGGTCTCTCGATAGATCAACTCTCTCCAAGCACACCTATCCTTTACTGTTTCTTTTAATTGTGACATATTCTTGCTGATGTCTTGTTTAATGTTATCAAGCCAACGAGTTCTTGGTCTGCCTCTTTTTCTTCTGCCACTGACCAATCCCAACATGACGTCTTTCTCCAATTACTGGCTTCTCATGATGTGTCCAAAGTATGTTAGTTTTTGTTTGGTGACCCTTGCTTCAAGCAAGATATTTGGTTTGACTTGTTCTAATACTTGATTGTTGGTGATTCTTGTTGTCCATGGAATTCATAGTAGTCTTCTCCAACACCATAATTCAAAGGCATCAATTCTCTTCCTGTCAGCCTTCTTTAATGTCCAGGATTCACAGCCATACGTTGCTATCGAGAAGACTATTGCATTTTGCATTTGGTAGCAAGGTTGATGTCTGCATTTTCTTATGTGGCTCATTTTGACCATTGCGTCACGCCCAAGTGCTGTCTGTCGCTTTATTTCGGGACTACAGTCTGGCGACTGTATGTATATAGACATCTCTATCGCTCTTAGATCCACCGAAGATGAAATCATCTACCACTTCTATCGCTTCATTATTTATCTTGATGTTAAACCCTACATTTCCTGCTGATGTCATGATCTTGGTTTTCTTCACGTTAAGGTGCAGGTTGAACTTTTCACTTTCCTCTTTCACTTTCATGATGAGTTTCTTAAGATCTTTCTTTTTTTCTGCCAGTTGGTTGTGTCATCTGCGTATCTGAGATTGTTGGTATTTCTTCCACCAATTTTCACACCGATGTTGGTATTTTCCAGGTCCGCATTTCTCATGATGACTTCAGCATACATGTTGAAAAGAATTGGTGATAGGATACAGCCCTGTCTGGTGCCTTTAACAAGCTTGAACCATTCGGTGTCATGAAT